TGCAATGAATACGGACAATATACAGACAGTCTGGTTCTGGTTTGCAATTTGCAATACATAACGTGTGTGCTACTCATTGCTATATGTCACAGGTTGAATCATTTATGACCCCTGTGAATACCTATAATGTGAACTTAAGAATATATCAAAAGGTGTCATTGTTATTAAATTCTTCCATTGGTACATGTAGTTCAACAATATGGTTGGTTTCTTAAACATTTGATAAAGAAACTAGAAAATGTTGGTTTTCTTGCATTGTGTCGCTTCAAAAAAGAAACCTTTCCCTATTTTTGGAAAAGTAATTTTAAAATAGTTAACCTATTTTTAAAATTTTGTGTCACTATTTTATCACTGTTTTTCTGTAAAGCTATTTTTCCCTAATTATTCTTTGCTATTTGCTAAGGTGGCAAAATCCAAACAAAAATAAAATATATTGTGAAAAAAATACATTTTATATAGGAAAACAATATATTTCTTTACTTTTTTTTTTACCTGGGGAAGTCTCCTTTTAACTCACCTTGATCATATCATTTTGGAGTTTCAGGACTTGGTCCCGGTAATTTGTGGTCTCTGACACCTGCCTGGCCAACTTCTGCCGCACAACCACTGTGAAAGAATGACAAAATTGGCATCCCTCCTTGAATAAGACAACACAGTGACTTGCACACTACTCTTAAAGTAGGATAATCCACACAGTCTGTTATCTTCTCTTCTCCATCTTTGAATACCAACACTTATTGTTGAGTTCCACTCACAATAAACTTTTAGTAAAAAAAAATTAACCCACAGAAACGTGGAAATGGTTTTCCATAAAAAGGGAACGAAATTAACTTGAAATGATGAAATTAACCGAATTCTCCTTGAAATGACATACAGCCTAAGAATATCAGAAACTGTTGTACAGGAGATTTTTAATGCATAACAGATAGAAAAACCATCATCTGGATCAAACAATTAACTGTTCATCTCAAGGAAGTCCACTCGTCCTATACATACCATACTTTTCAAGCAGTTCTGCCTTAGTAATGTCGTCGAGATCATCATTGGTAACCATTGCCCTTGATGCGTCCTCATACATATTGATGCGTTGTCGTAGCTTGCTGTTGTCTGCTTCTAACCTACCAATCTGAACCCAGAAGAGTACAGGTCTTTAAAATGAAACATGAAATAAAGCTACAGGAATGATCTTATTTACAAGGAAAACTACATGTACCATTATCATGATTATGCTGATGAAGCAGCTTTTTATTTATTAATGGCAAGCTCTCAACTAGTAGGAATGTTCAAATCGATGTAAATTCATATTCACATTTTTAATGCTTTCAGAATGTTTAGAATTGGTCCATTATATTTGTACTTGGGTAACTGTGTGTATATTGCTCTAGAGACTCCACAAATACCAGTATTTTTGAATTGTCCTTTTCATCAGTGATGAAATGATTAATGACAATGTATTTCATTCATTGGAATATGCTAACCAATGTATGGCTGATGGCAAAAAATTCATTTGCTTCAGATGTTATCTGTACATATACAAAAACGCATCATTACAAATATCACACAAACATCCCATAAAAAAACTAAAGTAAATTAATGAGTTTCTGGTACAATTACTCTTTTCATAGCATCCTTCACTTGATCAGTGTGCAGCTGTGTGTCTATTACTGTTACTACGGCAACAACTGCTGCTTTGATGAACACCTGTTGTCATAGCAACATTTATCCCTGATCTCCACATACATGTACATGTAACACACAATATGCATATTTTATTTGATGCCTGTTGTCATTGGCGTTGATGCCCGCACCTGACAACAGTGGCCATTTTCCTCCAGGCACTGGATTTCTAATATTTAAAACTACATGTACATTGTACATGTAATTCCTCGCAATTATTCCTACTGATGCAAGAACGCACACCGTTGCTCCCACCCATTTTATTTTTGGCACACAAAAAAAGAAATTAGGCAAAAGAGCAAGAGGAAAACACACATACATGTAAATACACACAGGAAAGTTGATTACAAATTCGTAACAGACAAAAGTAGTGACATGCATGGTAGACAAGCTCTTCCTCCATTGATAAATATGCGTTAGTGTTCAATGTTCATTTTAAGCCTTCACAAATATCTTTACATTTAACTTCAGGTGGATGTCGAATGACAACTCATGATAATATAAAGATTTTGAACACTAATGACTCACTCACAAAATGTTTGAAACATTCTGGTCTCACAAGCAAATTCTACATGTAGTTTTATTTATATTTTTATTTTATGTGAAGAAATCAGGTTTCTAAATATAAATTTGCAAGATCAATCTTGTCAGATAATGGAAAAATGCCAGACATTGACATGGTCCTATTCAAGTGTACAGTAGCGGAACGGTTTTAAAAGTGGGTGATAGGGCAAGGCCTGGCCCTGTACCTCTAACAGCTGGTAGGCCTATAAAGTGGGGGGGGGGCCCCCCTGGTTCCACCGCCGGTGTCAACCGCGTACATGGGTCTTTCTTCTTTTTTTTTGAGTCCAAAGCTGGACACACAGGGTAAAACTTCAAAACTGCTTTCATGATCCAAAATAAGCTCATTTCCATTCCATAGCACACACGGTTTATTCAAATAGGCTGAAAAATTAGCATCATTCCATGTCAAATCACACTTTCGGACATCAATCTCACAGATTTTCTTGGAATTTGCTGGGGTTGCTGGGTCCCATGAGAAAATCTCTAAACCCAAATATTGGTGTTTTGAGTCACATGGTTCGTGAGTTACCCTTCAGTATCTCACGTCAAGAAGGTGAGATGGAGTTGATTTATATCTTAAACCAAAGCCCTTGTGGTACATGTCACCAGCTAAGGACAAGGTGAAACGTGAGGCACAAAGTTTGGCCAGGACTTCAATGCTCACGCTACCTGTATAACATGGAACCCAAACATGGCGCGGAACTCAGCACAACTGAACTGTGAATGCAGCGCTAAAACTTGCCTTATTCCTCTTGAACTTACATGTACTTTATCTGTTGATTTTGCAAAGTATGATGTTGTCTTAAAATATCAGTAATGTGGGCAAGCTAAGAGATTTTTTGGTTTCTTGCAAATGCCAGAATTTATATTCTGGTTTCTCATATAACAAACTACATGTATGACATGACAGTTACACTGTTATACTTAATGGCACAATCACGGGACTGTGGTTTTACTGAACTTGCTGTAACACATAATTTGAGAATGCAATACTACATGTACATGTAAATCTGAACAATGTGAAAACTATAACACATATTTCAAAACCTAGCAAACTTGATAAATTACCTTTTTGTCCCACTTTTTTGTAACTTTGATCAGTTCATGACCAAACATTGTTGTAAAAAGTTTTTTAAAAAACTATTAAATGTGTAGCTTTTTTTCTTATACGGTAACCATGTTTTATGAGCTTATGATGAAAAACTTAATTCTGACGCCTTGCAGTTTGTTAAACAACCCTCGAGCGTACCGTAGTGTTTACCATTGGACACCTTAAAAAGACAGACTACATGTACATGTTTTTTGATAACAAGTGCATACAAAATAACACAAAATATGACACCAGGGTAGAAATCAAATCGCTGTCAATCACATGCCAAGTTCCTGTCTCAAGTCTAGAGATAAACTACTCAAATGAACTGTGACAAAGTCACTCCTCTGTCAATGTCTATCCCTGTTACTTGTGATTTGATCATGTACATACATCCACGTTGGCTCTCTGTTTCTTTCATCAGAGAAGCAACTGACAAGACTACAGACTCTTTAATTGAGGTCAAGGTTGACAGAATTACTTACGTTTTCCTGCAATCGTACAATTTCTTCCCCCATCCTGTTGAGTGCTTCACGGTAGCTCGATAGCTCCTTCTGTTGGGCATCCATCAAACTAAGAGTGTATTTGTCAAAGTTCTCTGAAGGTGCCGAACTATTGGAGGGAAAAAAGAACAAAGACAACTAACTGCTCCACTGCTGCCTGTCCCCTGCCAATAGCTAACAGTCAGTGATACAGTATGTCTATGGAGCCAATAGCTGAACAGGTGAGTCCGTATCAATCTGGGTCATCCAGGAAAAAAACTCCTTCGGGATATCTCAAAGAAATATTTCAATTCATCAAACATTGTTATTAAAGTGCAAAGGAAAAAGGCTTCCCATATTTTGACATCTACGGTATGGGAGGTAGATTGGCCACCCCAAAACCAATTTACCATGAATGTTTTTGCCCAAAATCAACACGAGAGAAATACATGTCAGGGCAATTTCTTTCCACAACCAATTGGGCTGATTTCGGAAACACGCGAGGTCAAATTTTGTGTTTATGTTTGGTTGATAACGTAACGTGGAGAAAGGTACAACAGGCATGCATGAAGTGTGCCTGGAACCAGAGCCACAGGATTCAAATCTCTATTCACCAAGGGTTGGGAAGGATATTTATTTCTGGCAGAATCTTATAAGTTCATGTTATGTAACAGAAGCCAAACGGAGGACAAGAACCATTATTCAATAATAAAAAATACGGGATGAAAACTTACTTTGGTTTGGGTTTCCTGTCTTTCAGTTTGTAAGGGTCGGGGCTTGGCGGGAGCCTGGTTGGTATAAGGCCATTATCAGAATGCCTTGTGGGGGGAATACGGTATTTATTGGATGGTAAAAGGTCCCGCATGGCATTGTGGGAAGGGAGGTCATCATCATCCATGGCCTGTGAAATCATCAAGATTTGAAAACTGACTAAATTACAGGTTAAATATTCGTCAACAGTTGAAAAGTCTTTTCCCTCTCAAAACATGCTGAAATAAAAATATGAACAGGGAGAAATTTAGGAGCAAGCCCACATTTTTGCACACAATATGCCCAAACACGGGTGCATGTTCATGTATGTAATGGAAGTTTGATACCCTCAAAGACATTCACAGATAACTGTGTTTTTCACTCTATTGTTGGCAATCTCCTTGGAGAATTATGCCCACAAGAAATACGTAATCTTGATGATGTGACTAAAGAAACATTGTGTTACAAAAAGGGAATCGTTTTGGGGACTTATTCTCAAACTGAATTATTTTCTCTTCATATGCAAACAAATTAAACCTGTCAAAGAATGTAAAGATCCCCTCATAAGAGCTCTCCGTCAAAAACTTTTCACGGCTGATGTACATGTAACTCGCTTCTCAGTAACTCAGTGTTACTTTCCAGCGACCATAGTACATGTGTGTACACACGTGTACCTAACAGAAATATAAAGCTGTCTCTTCCAAACAAATCAATATAACGCACAATGATGGCGGCATGGACTTTGTTCCCTAATCTCTCTGTGTGTGAGTACACTATTCAGCATAACATCATGACTTGATTTGTGCTGCATCAATTATGCATTAGACTTTTTTGACTGGTGTCTCAGAGGATAGACACGGGAATGCCAGGATTTGGCATTCCAATAGAGATTCAGATGCTATCCTGCAAATGCTTGCAAATTCAATAGCTTGCAACTTCTGTTCTAACGTACTCGTTAATTTCCTTTTTAAAGCTATCTTGGGATCGGCTAGAACAATTTTTCACTCACACTGGTGGTACATATGTACTTTACAACAGATGAATTCTGCTAGTCTTGGAAGGCACCCTATTGGGTAAGTGCCTGGACATGTAATAGATGAGATGTTTAAAGGAAAAAAAATGCTTTATCAATTCATGATTAAATTCTCAGAAAGTCAGCAATTTTCACAAAAAATGGAACAATTTACAAATACAGTACAACACAGTTCTCAGGGGATTTGGTTTTTTACAAACCTTAATGCTTTGGAAGAAGGATTTCACATAAACTAGATGTACATTTCTTTGCAATAAGCACAAATGTCAAAAGACAGTTTTTTCTGAAGTACATGTACATAATGTCAGCTGATAACACGTACATAATTAATCATCACATTAGACTTACATCGGATGTGAAAGGTCTGTAGTAAGCAACTGCCATTTTGACTTTTACACAGTCTGCATTTATAGAAGAGGCAAATCAACAAAGCATGATTCCACATCCATTCTGTTCAAACAATCCCTAGAAGTCATCCAAGACAAGATATAGCTGTGAAGTGAGTCTTGAAAGGGAAGGGACAGTGTCACCAGGTTGGTTTTGCTCGAAGCATCAGTTTACACATCCCACGTCAAAATGGACGGATCTCACATGTCTCACAGATCCAGTGTTGGGATAGAAAAACTGGTTCTGTTCCCGTCTCACCACTCAGTGGTGAAGTCCATCCACTCTTTGATGTCAATTCTCACAGCGGCGGTGCAACACACGCAGGAACCACTTGCATGATGATATGGCAATTGATGAATGATCCAATTCATGACATAAAAACGTGATCCTGAACAGGTGTTCACTCATAGACATGTATGTACTCCAGGCCCTCTGCTTTGACACTACTGTAGTCGTTTCAGTAGACTCAATTGTGATGTGCTGGCGGTGGTGAGTATAATGTAATTTCCTCAAATAAAACCTTGCAGACCACTGGTCATACGTCTTCAGCATAACACTATTCTCAGCGACTGTAAGCATTTAACTTTCATAATTGATCCAACCAATTATCAACAAGATACTGTCAGCACTAAGCATCGCTAGGTGCACTGCATATAGTATGCTATGGCTGTCCATGAACCACCCCGGCCCAAGCTTCTTTTGTCAGTTAGAGTGTTTTGTCCACAGTGGATATGGTGAGGGTGTTTTGTCTACTTCTATTTCATGTCCGTAAAGCCAATAGCAGTAAACAGCCATCTACTTTCACACTGATGAATGTGTGACACTCCGGGGTCAGGTTCAGTCAACCTGAAAAGCTTGTACGTTGCTTAGCAACCTCATGCTGGAATGGAGGCTGTAATGGCTCTGGCAGTGGGGCGTTGCTAGTAATTACCCGTAAACTATGCAATTGACACAACATGTAGCACCACTGGGAAAAGTCTTGTGCCTGTAATATGCACAGTCTGTATAATGTACAATGGCAAATGATTAAAGTGAAGGTAATTATGGACCAGGAGGTCCACCTTGCAATGTGTTCCTATTTTCAGTTGAAAACAAAGACTGGTATGGTAATTTATTTCTGTGGACTATTATGTAATGTGGTTTTCTTTCACCAAAAGTCAAAACAAGGATGCAAAAGGTTGGCAAAAAGACCTTTTTCCCACTGATTTTTTTAGATAGTGACAACATGGAAAAATACAACAAATAGTGTTTAAAACTAGTAATTACAATGTACAAGAAACTCTTAAAAATTAATTACAGACGAGGAAACTGAATTAAAAGGAGGACAATAAATTTTGCCATTAATTTCAAAGTTAATATTTGGGCACATTAGTAACCCGCTATCTTCAACTGAACACAGGTAAGACAGCTGTTGGGATCCCACTGAAATCTCAACCAACATCTCCACTAAAACCTACTTGCAAAACCAAACTATATCCATCAACCTCCCCTCAATAAGCCTAAAAAAACCCAAAACCACACACAAAGCCCAAAAAATGAATTGAAATCAAACGCATACTAAAAAGAAAACCAAATAAAACCCAAACCATGTCAAAATCAATTTCCAACCCAAATCCATACCCACACATTGCCCTCTTCTCTCTTTCCTTTGAAAGGAAACACACATACTCCCATTACAAGACTTCTCTCCTTTACTGAATCAATTGATAGCCTCGTCATCATATCAATGTTGTCTCACAGATCATTGATGTCAACAAGCACAAACGACAAAAATACTATGCATAAAATGACACAATGGCATGCATACATGTACAATGAACTACCTACGTTTTTTTGCAAAATCAACTAGAGCATGTGATGCCTACAACCTGGTGTAATTGATTTTCACCAAATCAACTGAAATCAGCCATATCATAATGATTGCCACAGGGCAAAGTTTAACTAAACCGTATTTCCCAATTTCACAAAGAGACAAAGTAGACTCTGGAAATGAGTACAAATGCAACAATGTTGCATCTGGCATGTGCTACGCCAAAAACGTGTACTGTGCATGCTGTTTTCACAAAGCGACAAAACTCACACAAATTTTAGCATTTTCATAAACACTCAAAAGTTTTTGTTATCAGAATAAACAAATGAGTATTTCTGTAAATATCATTTTGTAGTTTTGTGTCATTTAAGATCCCTTCTTTCAGGAAGAAGCATTGGTCAAGTCAAAGGAATGCTAAAAAATGAGGAAATGAGCATTTAAAAATGAGACCAACTTCAAATGAAATAAGTAAAAACTAGTTTTTACTCTATGGCGAGACAAGTCTCTCTGCGAAAATGGTGATGACATATAGTGGCGCACTGATTTATTTTGGCAATGATCTGTGTACATGTAAATAAGTGTGATCTGTATCAAGTACCTAGGGCATTATTGTACATCACTCTTGGTATTATCTCAATGCAGATAACATTGAGTGTGCTCAACCTCAGGCCAATTGAACAGGACCAAAATAACCTGTACATCCGCTGGGTCAGTCTCAAGCCAAATCAAGAGCCATTCAAATGAACTGCAACAACAGTACGCCTTTGTCATTGTTAACCCTGTGACTTGTGACTGGTTTTGTGACAGTCACAGGACATGTGTCCAGACTTGAGAAGGAACTTGCGAGGGAATCAACTTCAACACCAAAATCTTGGCTCATTGCCAAATACCTAAATGTGCATGCATAATTACATGTATGTCCTCAACAGAGAAATTGAGGACAAAGAAACACAAACAAATTTACCATCGTCTTCAGGTAATGGCACTTTAACACATACAGGTTTGAGGACACTTAGTTAAATTCAGTTTTCATTTCTATCATTTATGTCTGCTGTTTATGCATCAAACTGAACTAGGCTAATGAACTGTGAGAGCACAACACACCATCATTTGATTCATTCCGTATTATTCCTTTCTGTATTGCATGCATCTGCTTATTACAGTCCGTGAGTCTGGTTGTCTACACAAAAAAGGCAGCAGATAAATGAAAAACATGGCAAAGTAGTAGTCAAGTCCATCGCAAGTCCCTCTAAGTCCATCACAAGTCATCCAGTCTCCACCACTTCCTGCCGGGGAGCCCAGTTTTGGGCACATAGGCTTTATACATGTACATGAAACCGGGGAGCCCAAAACCAGAGAAAAGACCAAGGCCTTTTGACAAAAGACTGTACTTGGAAAGACCAAGCTGCTGGAAATTGTTAACTTTTTTCCCAGTTGTCAATAGAGGAGGAAATCTGTCATTATTTTGAAATATTATACCACTGCTTGTGGCATTCAGCGTGAGGAGATTACCACCGGGGACAAAAGCGCACCAGTGATGAGTGATACGATCTGCTGCACGCTAATCTGGCCCCTTTTGAAAAGACGCCAGCCGTGCACTGTGCCAGTATCGGGAACAAAAGAAACTTATGTAACGTTGCACAATCTGGCCTCTTTTCACCAGGCGGCAGGCCTTGCTGAAATACTCGGGCATCAATAGATGTTGTCTGTTAGATTAGAGTAGCCACCAGACAGTCATTTGTGTGGGTGTAAATGTCCAATAAATGAAGTTATGTTTTTGGAAGAATATTGAAAACGGAAAATCTTGAAAATCTCTCAGTTTTACGTCATTCAACTTCAAATTACACCCAGCAGCAATTGGTTAAGCGAAAATTTATGCAAATGAACTGTGACCCAAGCATTCCGTAGTCATTGTTCATCTAGTTACTCTTGAAGGGCTCATGGACTTGACTTATAGATTTAATCACAATTCAGGTTAACCATGATTTTACCTCCCCCTTCCCCACTCTCAAAAGGCTTCTGACTATCACAGTCATTTGGGGGGGGGACAACATAGAATAAAGGTGCCAACTTACAATTTTCTTTCTTGTTTTTTGCCTCGGTGTGTAGAGTGGCACTGGCGGTGGGGTGCTAGCCCGCATTGGTCGGGGGGCAGGCGAAGGCGATGACTGGGCGCCCTGCTTGGGCGTTGCCGGTGGTGATGATGGTGTTACTGACAGGGGCTGGAAGGACGGCTCCGGAGATTTCAGTTCATGTTGATAGAATGTCGGCAGGCTTGGCAGCATGTTCAAGTCACTGGATGCGGCCAACGAATCCGGTCTCTAATATCAGTCATCAAGAAGTGATTCGCATGGATGACAATGACTGACCTGAAAGTACTTACACACACCTGCTGAAGTCCCAAGCCAGTGTTCAAACTACATGTAACTATAAAAGTAAAACACTTTCTCTCACTGACAATACTTTTTTGACCTAAGTTTCAAGAAATTCAGTCAAAAATTATTACTGAATCCAACAATCTCCCTGGGAAATTGAGTATGAGGATGGACTTCAAAGTCCGGTGTCCCCTCCCCCCGGGCTTGTTGATTTCGTGGAATAATGGTGCACTGATGGGGGGTTCAGTGTTGATTGCTTTGTTGCTGCCGCTAACAAAGTGATCATGCAAGACCACTGCAAGCAATGTGATGCCCATGCACAAAATCCTCACCAGTGCTTTGCCAATTTCTTCCAGGGAGTGAAGATTTGTCAATGAAACAAATTGCTTCAAAACTGAGAAATAACAAAGGAAGAATCACACAGTAGCCTCTACTGTGTCCTTTCAAGTCCACCAAAAAGCATGACAGCATGTGCATGTGCACATAACACATAAATGAGTTGCTAGTAACCAAGTCAAGGATGTTAAATGCACACTGGGCCTCCAATTCCACTGAGTGCGAATAATTGTGCTCTCTGAGGCAGAGTACAAATAGGACTGACTTGCCATAATTTACTGATGTGTGTGCTGAAAGATTGGATGTGATGAACTGAACAGGAATATCACTTATTCATGAAGCCAGCATAATGGCACACAATTTCCTATGTTAACCACTTCATGCCGGGGCATTTTTTCAATGTTGATGATACTTGGCTGGCATGACTGTCATTTTTTCCGTTTTCAAAATCCTTCAAAAATTCATCATTTCATTCGACGGTCGTTTATAGCCGCACGAAGTAATCTTTAGGCACTACTCTAAGTTGACAGGTGACCTTCACTGAAGCCTGAACATTTCAGCCAGGCCTGCAGCCTTGTAAACAGAGCCCAGATTGTGTGGTGTTATATAACTGTCTTTTGTTCACGAACCTGGCTCAGTGCACTGCTGACCTCTTTTCAATAGGGGCCAGATTAGCGTGCAGCGGTGCTGTGTAGCTCATCGCTGCGGTGGTGGTGCGCTTTTGTCACTGGTGGTAATCCGCTCGCTCTCAATGCCCCAAACGCTGGTATACGGTTTCAAAACAAGGCTGGATTATCACCACTTTTGAGAGTGAAAAATGCCGGTAATGCCCAGCAGCCAGGTCGTTTGTTCGGAGTACGGTCTTTTGTTACAGGGCCCTGTTTCCTTTGTCCAAGTTCGGAGACCCTGGCTACGCATATAAACCATACGTCTCCGATTCTGGAGTCCCTGGCAGGAAGTGGTTAAGATAAGATATCTTTATTAAAATCCAGAAACTGGAAAATTACATTGCTGTCGTCGCACCTTTAAACAATTTCACATAAACATAAACAAAGATAAGTAAGATAATTTCCAACCCAGTTTAAAAGAACCGTGCCCCAAATAAAAAACCTAAAAATTAAATTAAAAATTAAAAAATCATACGAAAATCATACACACAAATAAACACTCCTTACTTCTGAAGTACGTACATTCTTACTGAAACATATTAATATTTTAAAACCAAAATGACAACAATGTAACAACGGACATAAATAAAAATGCTTGAAACCACTAACAAATTTCATGCCAAAGTTTGAAATGTTGAGCCTGAGATGATAAGTTTTTCAGTAACTAGCTACTTAAAAAGTTCTTGTGCAAAGAGCCTTGATGGCAGCAGCATCAGCAACGAATAAATAATGACGCATTAATAAATAAATTACCATAATTGGCTGCTAGGAAACCACTTAGCATCATCTCCACATGTCTACGTTCGCTATTTATGATCGTCGACTGACAACCAAATATATCAGCTACTATATCTAGTATCTTTGCCCTTATCTAGGAGAGGAACAGGTTATGTGTACCGAGTTACTCCCGAGGAAAACAAATATTTACCAACTTTACAATTGTTTGTATGTTACTATGGTCAGCATCTGAGAGTGATGTCCCCCCTCCCCCCCCAAAAAAAACACTCATCCTTGCTCAGTGCTCTGAATGGACTTACTGTATCATCATCAAGTTGTGCTTGCAAATTCAACCGGACTGGATCAACAGAACCAATGCGGCAATCTTCAAATCTTGTTGGTACTGGTAGCCCAACAGGGTTCAATCAGCTTGTGGGATCTTTAAACTGAAAATGCCGCATTTACTAATAATTAACAATTAAACCTTGTCTTATTTTTTTGAACTTACCATAGACGTGATGAGTCGCAGTATGATTGATATGTGTGGTGTCTTGTCATCTCTTGATTTCAAATCACTACCCTAATTGATGAAAGAAACAAGGAGTGACATCTTTTACCTGCTAATAAAACAGGCAGAGCTCCAAGGAGAACTTTTTTTTTAACCACCAAAACCTCATCGCTGTTGTGAAAACCCAACCAATCAATTGAGAAAGTCTGGTGAAGTAAACAAAATGCTGGCAAGTGATTTGAAAACGAGGTACTTATCGGAAGCTAAGAAATGAACGCTGGTGGTACTGTAAGTTACAACGGCACGTACTAGTAAATGCTTCAAACCTTTCACAAACAAAACACCAAGTGTCTCTATGCAAAACAGTGAACTAACACTATCATCAGGGGTGTAGTGAAGGCATTTTCTGGGGGTGTGCCTGAGTCAATTTGCCGACTTGTAATTTGTGCGACTTCTCGGGTCCTGTGAAATGGAAATCCGTGGTATGCTATATTTCATGCTTCAGAGGAAATGCTGACAGCCAATGCATATTGTTTATGTATCTATTTTGAATTATTTGCCAACCGAAGCTCTATTTGCTGACTAGAATTAACTTTTTTTGGGGGGGTGACATCCCCCGGTCGCTACACCCCTGACTGGTTTCACGGAAAGGGAGAAACATAGTCGGATTGTCTGGCAGCGCAAAACAACGATAGAAACGTTGATTTAAATAAGAGTCAAACCTTCTTCCCAAAAAAAGTTCCAAGAGGGTCACCAGAATTCACAATGCACAGCTTTGCAGGGAAAGAAATACACTGACCATCTACAAGTTTAAGTTAGACTAATCAAGATGACCATACTGGCAGGAATGTGTCAGATTCAAAGGGCCAGCTTTCCACCATCACCTTGCTCAATCTGACAAGATTTCATGGTAGTGGCCACATACACGTACAAAACAAGATAACCATTTATGCAATAATTTTGCAAGCAAAATATCACAGAAAACTGCATGCATAGCCAAACCACAAACCCACAGATCAGAGCTGTCTTTGTGTATAGAGAGGGTAGTGCCGACTTGAGACTTTGGAACCAAATGGCTGTTCATCATGTGTGCTGCTATTGTGTGCTCATCGTTCATGTGCACTAACGCACAATCCACCATGTTGGTTCCAACTAATGAGACTCTCATGTCGCAACTCTCTCTATAAACAGCTCTGCTACACGCAACAGGTGCTTGAAGGATTTGCCACGTGTCAAACAACCACACAAACAACGCAGTGAACAAAAATGAAGTGACATGTTTTACCATTGTATATCATCCGTGAGCATGAAATGAAACTGACAAAAGTGCATGGGATTAATTCTACGGGGAACAAGTGGTACCTCACTACATGTAAACGGCAATAGATGAAAATCAACAGAGCAAAATATTCAAATTAACTGACAACAACAATGGGATGAGACAGGACACAGACGAGGTGATAACATTTGATGCCTCAATTCAGATGACTAGGATTGGATGGGATACTATTGTTAGACAATGTGTTCAAACATCTTACGCCAAGCCTTCTGTCCAACATGTTCGAGATTTACTCCACATGTTTTTCCTGGTATTCATGTTGCTGTTACAGTTATTTGCAAAAGTTTAGGACAACCCACACAAAATGCATTCACCTGAAGAAAAACCAACCTTATCAATCATGGCAACTTATGTTAATCGTCAATGTGTAACCTTAGTATCTTGGTTGAATAGCTATTGGACTTCATTTCCATGATTTGAAATGTTAACAATCTGATATTTAGTGTGCCCTCCTTTATTTCTGATTACTTGGCTTTTTTTACCTATGTCTTGTATGACAAATGTCATATAAGACCTGCCTTTGCAAAAATTTCATTCAAATGGGTATATAGCACTACACTGATGTTATGCACCACTGTAAAAATCATGTTAAGTAATCATTCAGTGAGACAGTGTAATGCAGGCCCAGTGACAGAAATACCACTAAAATTCCAGGTGGTCTTGAACTTTTGCAAATGACTGTAACTACTTATTTTCATGTTTACTAAAAGCTTAAACAAAAAAGTGAAGCATTTTACAATACTGCACTAACAAAATTGTGTCTGTGCACAGTTGGAAATAATGATGTTAATTCATACTTTTTCCGTTTATAATAGTACATATATCCGAACAAAATGCAAAAATTCACATCCTCAACGTCCAGACAAATATATTTTTTAACAAACAAAAACTATTTACTGTCACACCAATCAAAAATTCTGCAAGAAGACAACTTCAGATGTAATTTTCTTCACAGATGTTCCTCACACCTGATGACTTCCACAAAAACACATACCATTCCGACTATAGCTCAGTGGCTTGCTAAGTTGCTATGACATCATTATGTAGGCAACTGGGCTTTTCATTTGACAGACTTCTTCATCAATTTGTATAAAGTTCTGAACATTTAGAGTTCTGCCCCAAAATGTGATGATTAGAGACTTACCTGAAGGGGCAGATTGACTCGTATTCCAAGCCTACCGCGATCACTCCTCAATGCGTGATATGCTCTAGTATCAAGAAGCTGAGCACAGTATCCCGATGGGGTATGTAATAACCACGCTTCACCATTGAAAGCTGCCAAAAACAACAGAGAAGTACGTGTACATGAATGTTTCTAACGGATTCACTGGACAAAGATTTCAAAATTGAAATGTTGAAAGAACAGGCAAAGAATTCGTTGAGAGTTTCTGCAGAGAAAATATTAAGCCAGACTGAATTTCGTTTTAGATTGGTGACACAAAAATAGCATACCAGAAGATGCTGGGTAAAACTGGAGAGCCAATGCGGCAACGTCGGTGAATAATGAAGCCAGCTCCCTGGGGTGAGTGAAGAGGAATCCATGTTGCCAGCAAGGCTGATCCTCAGGTAGCCCGACTAGGCTCACCTAAAGAGATGAAGAGCAAACAAGGGGGAGGTCCAAATCTTACATTCACCTCTGTCTCAGACTTCGCCTCCAATACAGAAACCACATGCAGGCCTGAAGACTGGTTCATACTTCAAGCGAATGTGAAAGCGGAGCAAATTTGACTTCACAAGAGATTTGTAGCGAAATTTTGCTGGGGTTGAAATTTGTTCAACTTCTGCGAATTTGCAGCGCGAACGTTTGACCTGACATCACAAATTTGCATCTGAGTTTCTTTTCACGCCAAGTACAAACTGGCCTAAATACATCTAAACTGAAAGAAAATCTTTCCGTCCTCGGGTCAACGGCATAACAACTGATGCTCCTCGAGCCAAACTTGATGTTACAGTCAAACTAAAAGTCAAAAGTTTAGGGAGGTGTAGAAATCAAGGCAATTCAGAGAGGATATATGAAGGGGGAAAAACAATTTGGGGGGAAATTGATGACGTTCCTCTGTTGAGTGTCTCTTTCTGTATGTCACATGCAATATTGGTACATAGCTGGCAAAAAATAAACCTCTACTCTTCAACAAAGAGTGCTGTTATTTTTCTTTTATCGTAGGACCAAAATGGCGGTTGAGTGATGTGTCCTAGAAATTGTTGACTTTGCTACTAAATGACATATAACACGCTGCTACTGCATCGTCAAGAGATGCACGGTGCATGGACTTTGTGCACACAGTGTCAGTTTGTGTAGCTATCCAGAGTATATCACTATGATATACAGACCTCCTAACATTAGCTATCAAGAATTCGGAATCCTTTTCTCCAAAATTTAGAACTTTTCATGAAAAAGCGGAACATTCTCTGTACTACCATGAACAAGGAAAAATCAGTGCTGCATCGTACGAGAGTCGAGTCCATGAGGTTATACAGGATCGCACGTACTCACCGATTCCATAAAATTTTGATTACCACAAGAGTTTACATCACCTGAAATGGTCCGCAGTACTTTTACATCTCCTAAATGTGTTGGTTCACCACAAAATTCACCGCGTGGTGCTTGCACACTTGACATGATTGTGGATGATTTCTTGGATTTCTTGGATCCAAACATTCTTAGCAGTGGTTCCGAGTGAAACTGGGTGCCGCACGATACATATAGTGTTAGTTACATTGCACCTTGTCGATAGGGGGCTTTTTATCATGTGATCATGTCCAACTCAAGGCAAGTACGCCTCAAAAGAGGGCATTGCCATGGACGTGGCACATTGCAGTAAAGTACATGCACAAGATTACATGGACATTTTCCAGTAAATGATAGGCGTGTCAAAATTGCAATTTGCCGGAAATTTTAGGGGTGAAATCAGAACGGTGGAAACGAAGTGAAAAAGTGGAAATTTTCTGCCAAAATCGGGAGGGTTGGGAGGTCTGCTATTGGCCTGCATGTCCCTTCAAAGGGTTGTCCCAGTCTAAACAAGTCACACATTGGGTGAAACAACAAAGTCCTTTAATATTTACTGCAATAATGTTTTATAAACAAATTATTGCATCACTCTGCAGGTGGGACTAAAATAGGCAACACAACCACAAATGGAACTCATTCCAAAACCACTGTAAAAGTCTGAAAAAACTACGTAGCCTGCTGAACAGTTGTTACAAACAATGCATTTGACAACCACTTTCAAAATGAAATGAAATTGCTTCCTGTGAAGTTGGGCTTACCTGGGGCGAGCCTGATTTGACTCCTCCTTGAGGAACAAGAAATGAAGACGGGTGTGGGTCAGGGTAAGCAACAGTTAATGGGATGAGGCTCAAGGCTTGGAGATTACGTTCTGCAGTGTGATGCCTGTGGGATGACACCAATATAAAACGTGAACTTTGTAATGATGTGTGTACATGTACATGTATGCGCTTCACACTAACCATTTTTAACAACATGCAGGTCTAATGTGACCAAGTGAATGATGCGCTCAATCTTTTTTATTCACTGATGATGGAATTAAATGCTCAGAAATGAGTAAACTGAAATTTTGTTCTTGCTTTTGGCAACTCAAGAAGGGTTCCCATACAAAGACAAAAATGGAAAACAAGTGAAACTATAGTAAATAAATCGAAATTATATGAACTGTGAATAATAAAGTTCTACAAACTTAAATTAAGATTTTTCATTTGTTAAAAAGTTTCTTAATTGCAACCTCTTGCTAAAACATTCAGGAAAGTTTTCAAAACATTAGATGATGGGATGGCCCTGTCATCAAATGTTTCAAATGACTCAAAAGAGCCCAAAGTACTTTGGACAAGTACTTGTCCAAAAGCTTTAAAGCTGACCTATAAGAGAGAAGGTCAGGGACGAGTCTGGCTGTGGCAATGAGAGGCCCCACAGGATTGGCCAACTGCTCCTCCACCCCTTGCAGTAATACTTCTAATCCGTGGAAGCCAAGAGCATCTTGGGATTGAAGCAAACTATCATCCAATCTTGTCAGGAGAGGCTGTCTTCGTAGGACTGAGATGAAAAGGTGGCTGTCATCCTGTCATAATGGAGAGAGGCAATACATGAAGTGAAATAATTTTCACTTTTAGACAGAGATAAGCATTAAATCAAATAGTATTCAGATGAAATCCTCCAAATTGATGGCAACATACACTCTTATTGAACCCCTAGGGAGTTTAAGAAATCACATTCAAATTTCAGAATTGAAGGACTGTTGGGATTAAAATAATTTACAAATAGATCGTTTCGTTACAAACACTGACTGTCATTTTGTATGGGCTGCCAAAGTTTGCAGAAAGTTCATTTTACTTCTTTGGTATTAACATGGGACCTACATTTGTCAGCATTAATGTATTCATCTTAAGCGTTTTCATATTCACAACAGATTTTGTAAACCCTTTGCAAATTAGTCTTGTCGTTTCTGTACTTACGGGCCTGCTATTGTTTTGCTGGCAAATTTGCACTTGTGATACGTAGGCCAAAGAAAGGTCTAGATATGAGGAGATTTCTTAGCACCCGTAGAGCAACAATGCTTTCCATCTACCCTTTAGACTTACTTGAACAAGGTCCAGATGATAGTGATGGAAGGGCTGCAGCTGATTGAGTGGTAGTCTGTACTCCAGTATTGCATCTCGTGAAGTCTCATGAATAACTTGAAGCTTGATATCTGTAAAGTGTTGACGTTACATACTATGTCACCTGCTCCCAGAAAATGATAGTAAAGTTGCCAAAATCCTTCATATTTTTATTCACAAAACTCTTTACGTAAATCAGTTTATTTCACTTAATGACAGGAGTAGTGACTACATTAGAAAGTTAGGCTGCATCCGATTCTCTTGTCTAGAGCTAGGTTTACGTCTTCACTCCATTGGAAATGCATGGAGAAGGGCAGACAATAGACCTAGCCGTAGCCCTTGAAGCCCGTTTTGGACACGGCCTTACTCTCTGACTGACACCAACACTGAATGCTTTGATATTGCGTTTAATATATGAGATTACCTTGCATAAATTGGGTCCCTGACTTCTCCTGCATCCCCTTCACAGGAACAGTAATTCTGATAGCTTCTTCCCAGGTTGGGTTGGTGCTGGCGGACTGAACAGAGTGTGTAGTGCAGATTCCAAGTGTAGTCTCTTTGACTGCAGAATCACAGGTCCTGCAACAAAACCAGTGGGAATACAAAACGTGAATGTTCGTCATTATTCCAAATACTGGCTATGAATAATGCAAACTTTTTATATGGGTTGATTTTACACAGGTGCAGGTTTTTTCTTAGAATCTCTCAAAAACCTGATGTGATTATTCAGTAAGTCTCTGACTGGTCCAAGTTAAGACTAAATGAAATCCACTGGCCATGCCTGCCACAAAGGGACCAAATGTATGAGTTTATACGGACACTTGATATGATGAAGACATATAATTTTGTCTGCAAGCACATTTGAATTCTCAATTCTGATTGGTCAATCTATGGCAATAAACAGTGTGAAATATAACTCTACTGCACAGTTCATATCAAACCCTGCATAATGCGCTATTCTAACTCAATGCATTGTGCTATTTTTACGCTAAAAGCCACACGTTTACATGCACAGGCTTCTATAACATTTTTATTGCACGTTAAGTTTGCTTGAAGATAAATTTGTTATCACACTGGAGCTCATGGAATACGGAATAATGTAGTGTGTCTGTGTCCCATATGGGACACAGTAGTCTATGTTCTCCTTGTGCCTGTGTGATAATGAAATGGATAAAAGCATAAAGGTCAAACTAATCAAATTCCTGTTTTATTTCAAAACAAGTGAAATATCTCAGCCATTACCCTGCCACATAGGCTCTCGGAGCAGACCCATCCGGTAATCGTGGCAGATTGGAAGCAGCATGGATGATCACTATCACATCCTCCTGATCTGGTCTGGAAATGTGGTTCTGTCTCAGGAGATCGGAGCCTCGCCTGGGATTGAACTCTTTCCTGGGAAGCCTGTCCTGTGTTGGGTTGGATGAAGGATCCTTGAGCCGGAAATATACTGACTTCACTTGTGGAAATTTAGAGGGCCAGATAAGCATGCAACTATAGGCTCAAACCATGGATTTTTTGTATCAGGGTTACTACAAGAGTCTTGGAATGTAAACTTCTGCTATGTCACATCAGAAATAAAAAAGTACCATTTCCTTAGTCAATGACTGTTCAAGTTTACTCTAAATACAACATTTTGATTATGAAAATGCCTTAATAAGGTCAAGCTGAAAGCTCGAAATCTTACGTAAGGCGACAGATCCATAAAATTAGTTCTTCTTTTTGAGTTAAAGTTTACTGAATTTGCCCCAAACCATAAATTTTTACATATAAGTAGGATATTACTGATCCCCAAACTGCCCATAAAGTTTAGATGATCTATGTTTTACCAACACAAAAATCTTGACCGTGGCCGTACAAGAAAACAGACTGATCTCTGGATATCAGAACTACATCAGATTTGGAACTACAATTTCTCAGCGCATGTCTTCTGGGATCCCGACAAAGGTGGTTGATGACTGATCAAACTTGATTGCATCAATGGCTACCAAGGATGGCCTCACCTCAAGGCTGACTGCTGCTTGTTTTGGAATGGAAGTTGTCTTGGGTCTAAGTAACGGTGGGGGCATGTCCGTCTCTGGTGTCGGTACTGGGGAAGGTTCTGGTTCAGCTGGGGGTTCCTCAACAGCAGGTGACTCTGGGGGAACCTGATGTGAAAAATTGACCGGATACAATCCAAAACTGGTTGGAAAACATTTCAACAAATCTTGCTCCAACTTTAAAACCCTAATTTTTGTCTAATTGTCATGCAATCTACAAAATAAATAATATAACTAGCTTAAGAGCTACTTCTTTCTTGTTTAACCCCTTCACGGTGGGATTATTTTGACCGCGACTGCTGGGCTGAGGCATGCCACGAATGGAGGGCTTTGTCCAGCAGCAGGCCCCATTGAACCAGCAGCTGCATGGTGAATAGACTGTATGTGTGGTATGCACTAATGCTCACACAAAGGTGCGGTAGTAGCAGTCATCCGGGGTTAAATGCATGTATATGTGAAAAAATTTGAATTGTACAAATCAGAAAATACAATTTACCTCTGGCTCTGGCTCCTTGTCTGGTTGTAGCCTCAACTTCACTTGGTAATTCAGCCTACCCCCAAGGACGGTCAGACCGTCTTCAGCCAGCAGCTTCCTCAGGCTGAGCGTTCCGCCATACTTGTACAAGTTTTCTCCTTGGTTGGCTCCAACAAGTTTGATGAAAGGGGTGCTGGTGCGCGGATAGATGGTAAAGGTCGCCTGCCCGACATTGGGTACCGTCCCGACAGCGACATCATTCTCAGTGTAAGGAAAAACCTCAGCTTGGAGTATGACTTCGCTAGCAGCATTGGGAGAGCAAAGACCTGCAAGTTTACCACATTTGTGATTGAAATGATGGAGAGATTTCAGGGAAGCTGCAAAACATGATTTAATTCATATCTTCAAAAATTGAAATTATCTAACTTGATCTACATCTTGTAGAGATTGGCCATCCACATTAAAGTATATTTTGTCACACACCCTTTTTCTAAACAATGCTAATTGGTTTCATTCACAAGTCAGCCACATTGAATTGAAAGCGAGGTTAACTTTTTTATTTTGAGTACCTAAGAATAAAACTGAAAGCCTGGAAATAAAACCTCATTACTGATTTCATTTCCGAAGACGACTAATTTGAAAGTTGTGATTTACATCTGAAGGTTTTAATTTACATTTCTTAACAAAAAAGAAAGTAAGGCATGATACACAACATAGTCTGGTACCACCCCATTTGACAGATTACACTGAATAAGATAGATTCAGGGAACATGATAAAAAATGGCTTCCGTCTGATAAGGTCTATTATGTGGAATGCTCCTCAATTACCTTCCACACTTCCAATGCCTAGGTATTTATTACACAACCCTTTTACTTTGACAGAGACCTCAATTAAGAATTAAACTCCTCTCAAATTTTTTTACCTTTAGGGAGGCAAAACGTAAAACTGTTGTCGGCGAATTTCTGTGGCTTGTCTGCATTTGCCTCTGTTACATCTACAGTGCTGGTTACCGTGGAAACACTCTCTTCTGATAGGTCTTCGTCATCACCTGGCCACACTCTGACCTTTGAATTCAAAAACGGTCCAAACAAATCTTCAAACCAATGGCAGCAAATGTATTACTTGAAAGTTGACCATTAGTCTCAAAAGTAAGCAACACTGTTGATACACCAAAAAATTGACAAGACAAATATCTCATTGTGACCAATTTATCAAATTCACAGCTCACTTTTATATCATAACAAATCCTCTCCTTTAAGAAACCTTCAAACACAGGATATTGTGGGTTCAATCCAGGAGCTTTTTAACATTTTTAAACAGCGCCATCCAGTGACCCCAGTACTGCTCATAAGGAAACCCTGCTATTCAAAAGTCCACAAGGTGGTAATTACCCTATCTTGCCTTTGATTAATAAGCAGTGATGAGGTCCATTGTGGTGACCTTACATGAGGTTAGTGCCTATGAGTGCATTACAGTTCCATAAGAGTGCATCTTTACATTTGAGATTACTTGAAATTTTTGTCCTCCAGAAACTTCATTACAAAGCAAAGCAATACAGATAAAACAGACCACAGTTTTGCAAGCTCTTGCTATTTATCAATAAAAATGATGTTAATTAACTACAATATCTGACCTGTTTAAGAAGGTCTTGTGCCTCATCTGCTGCACACTGAATAGACAACTTAATGTAATAACTGCCTGGTGTATTTAAGATGCAGTCTGTCAGTTCAAACTCAAACAGTAAGGTCTTCTCTTCTATCCGTAATGCATCCATAGTTAAGCACTGGCCATTCTATTCAATCATAACTGTTGCTGGAAAACAGAGAACAGAACGGATGTGGTAAGTACATGAGAGGACACTATAAAAAAGGGCCAAAGCTTTACAGCCACGACAGCCTGGCTTTTCAATATTGGTATACATGTACAAACAGGATGTGTAAAACTAAAAGGTTACAAGTAGAGTTTGAAAAAAATGGAAAGGAGAGGCGTCTGTTTCAAAGGAAGTTGGTAAAAGTCAGAAGTAGGCGGAGGTAGCGGGAGGTAGTTGGATGTACATGTAGTCGGAGGTAGGCAGAGGAGGTCAGAGGTAGCCGGAGGTAGGCAGAGGAGGTCAGAGGTAGCCGGAGGTAGCCGGAGGTTGGCAGAGGAGGTCAGAGATAGCCGGAGGTAGTCGGAGGTAGGCAGAGGAGGTCAGAGGTAGCCGGAGATAGGCAGAGGAGGTCAGAGGTAGCCGGAGGTAGGCAGAGGAAGTCGCAGGTAGTCGGAGTTAGGCAGAGGAAGTCAGAGGTAGCTGGAGGTAGTCAGAGGTAGGCAGAGGTAGCCGGAGGTAGGCAGAGGAAGTCGGAGGTAGCCGGATTTGTCATATAATATTTAGTAAATAAAGCACTGACCAGTGCATGTCTACTCACTCAACTTCCTGGTACACAAAGGATCATTTCTCATTGGGCTTGTCCTTTTTGCAGCCCCACAGCATCCCAAAATGTTTTTCACGCGAATCACAACTAACCCCTCTGTACTGCGATGGTACGATGCTCATACGTGTACACAATATTAGAAAGTGCTTTACTAAATGTTACATGCTAGCTGCGGCTACCTCCGACTTCTGCCAACTGCCTGTTTCAAAGCCTAAACTGTTGACAAAGAACAAGAATTCAGGCTCCACTTTGATGTCTAGGGCTACACTTTACTGGATCAGACAAGTAGGCTATGAACCACTGTTTCAAAGTGCTGTGATTTGTTTCTAGTTTCTTGATGACTTTGAGTGCAGTTCTTCTGTAATTCAAACACGGACCAGAACACTGTGTTCAGGTGTTAACAGTCCATTCTTTGGTCTGCAAATAACAGCTATGACAGCTGCAACATAAAACTTCAATTGGTGATCATCACTGATAATGTCATAATTTTCCGTATGATACCTTTCTTCACACAGTACAAAAGAGATAAGGTATAGCAAGTGTGCGCAGGGAGGTGGGAAAACTACCTCCATGGTGTGCGGTAAAACAGTGCATCTGCATACATGCGCGCTTGGGGTTGTTTAGCAACGAACGAGTCGGCACTCACACGGAAAAATTGATGTTTAGGTATAAGCCACGATCAAAATCAAAACACCTCACTTTTAGTTTTACAACAATAAACAAAAAGCACCTGCAGTCCAGTATCGTCTCAAACGACATCCATTATAGGTTCAGTGCATCAGAAAGCCGACATTAACTTCAAACCACGGCGCAGACAAATATTCAGACAGCGAGGATTTCTGGACAGAATTATTGTCCTGACGTACGGTCGGTATATACGGCACGGATAAGTCGAAAGCGGTTTGTTGTATGTCACTTGAGGGCGCTATTTCAACAGTACGTGGATATCTTGTCCATGATCTTGTCCGTCGTCTGCACTGAACACGTTTTCTCACATTGATCACAAAGGATTTTCATTAAAATCAAGCTTCGTAAATTGTCTTGTTAAAAGAAACTAATTTGTCAGAAAATAAACTGAAGTTAAGCAAAAACTCATGATGAATAAAGATTTGCATGAAAGGGTGGGTCAGAGAAATAGTAAGGATGTCTCCCCTCGGGTCTTCTCAAACACTTCACGAGTTATCGCCGACTCGCAAAGGACCACGCGACCACCGTTGAAAGGGGAGGAGGTGTAAACCCCCCTTAACGTTCGAGGATACCGTGGGAGGTGCAAAGGCACTTCGTCATATCCCACTGGTACCTATAAATATCCGAATGTGCAAAGTGGGGGAAGGACATTCCACTTTGAGATGCTATCTTTTTTAATTGCAAGCGCCAACTTGAACAATTTAGAAACCGTTGCACATCAGTGACACCACTCTACCACCTGTCTTGGGATGGGGATTCTTTGCTTTGTAGAGAAGAAGTCCTCGTCCACTCATCCCAGCCCCAGCGTGGTATTCACACTGAGGGCAACACATTTACGAATGTCCAACAGTAGAATTCCGTCTGTCTTGAGCCATATAAATCTTCTCCAGGCAGAAATTTTAGTGCGTTCGTCTGTTTATTTCGATAAAAGGAAGAAGATGTAAACATATATCTTTACGCCCTGAGGAAGACCATAAAGATTAAAGAAAGAAGGCTTCGAATTGTTTGCCCCCCTCCTAATCGCTCCCAACACAGACATTTTGCTCTGGATCTGCATGCGTTAGTCTATTTCAAGCCGATGTTGTTGTTTTGCAGCTGTTGTCTTTACATGCAATTATCAGAGTCAAAAATTACACCGAGTATAATTTACATATCCAGCACAATATGTGGCAAAGGGGACCCCCTAATGTGATGCACAAACCATATACCCTAAGGCTATTGTGCCTACTGCACCCCCCTCGAAATCTGACAGGAATTCCAAAGATTCAGTCAACACAAAAGAATACACAATAGAGAGGGGGTGCCTTTTGCCAAATATTGCGCATCAAATGATAATTTACAATCGAATTAAAATCCAGAAGGTCAGAGTTTAATTCAGAATTATGGTAACTTCATTCACTGGTTTATCCAAAGTATTACAACTAAGTTCGGATGCCCCATTTTCAAGACAATGGTGTTCAGTCATGCATGACAGAAGGGATACCATCAAGGTATCATTAGAAAGAATACTGCTTTACTTTTCAGAGATCCTCATACATCATCATCATATCTCATTACATTACATAGTTTATTCGCCACTCATAGAAAATAATATACATGGTGGAAATTAAGTGTCCTTGCTCTGCTAACCCCCCCAAAAAAACACACCTCCCAAAAAAAACCCCGCAATACAACATTAAAAATACACATATATAGCAAAATACATTAAGAATGTACATTAAACATTAAAACTACAATGAGATGTTTAGTTCCCGCACAGCACTAGGATAAACACCACCGATCGCTCTTTTAGTTTTGGCAGCCACAGCTCAGTACCGTCTACCAGAGGAGAGCAATTGGAACAGAGCATTGCCCAGGTGCGACTTGTCCATTGCAATTACCACAACCCTCTTTTGTAGCCTTGTCACATAGATTTCATCCACTGACGGCAGTGGCTGACCAACAATCCTGGACGCTGTCTTCACAACCCGTTGTAAGAGTGTCCGCTGGGCCACCGTGGCTCCACCATACCATACCGTGATGGAGTGCGTACGAACGCTCTCCACCACCGACCGGTAAAAATCAACCAGCACACGCTGTCCAAAGCCAAAGCTCTTCATCCGACGTAGGAAGAAGAGCCGCTGCTGGGCCTTTTTCACGCAGTGGTTAACTTGTGCCGACCAAGTCAGGTCGCTCGCGAGGTGAATGCCCAGGAACTTAAAAACAACGACTCTTTCGATTTCTAAAGCGTCGATAAACACAGGAGAAATCGAAGTTTTGTTCGGACGAAAATCAACTATTTTCTCCTTGGTCTTAAAAACGTTCAACTCGGGGTTGCTCTCTAAGCAACACCCCACAAACTCCCCAACCTGACGGCGATATTCACTTTCGTCACTGCGTCGAATCAGGCCCAATATAGTCGTGTCATCAGCAAAATTACCAATTGAAATGCAATCATGCGTCAGCAGTGAATATAACAATAGACTCAAGACACAACCCTGTGGGGCTCCAGTATTCAATAACTTCGTTACAGAAAAATTATTACCAATTCTTACTCGCTGAGGCCTAGCCGTCAAAAAGTCAAATATCCAGTGGCACAGGGCATGAGGCAAAATATTCAAATTTACTAATTTACTGAACAACTTATGACGTAGAATGGTGTTAAAAGCAGAACTGAAATCAATCAATGATAATCGAACATAAGACAATTCACTTATATCAAGATGACGAAAAACATAGTAAAGTGTGAGTGACACGGCATCATCACATGACCTATTACACCGGTAAGCAAACTGTTGTGGGTCCATAGAACTCAGCAAAACAGATTTCATAAAATTGAGAACTAAACGTTCAAAACATTTCATAATATATGAAGTAAGTGTGACAGGACAATAATCATTAAGTGACAAAATAACATTCTTTGTGGGTATGGGCACAATACATGTATTAGAAAATTTGAAAACTGTAGGAATATGACATGTACGCAAGGACCAGTTAAAAATTTTGCAAAAATTTCCACTGAGTTGACTCATGGTTTGGCCAATTGTTGTGCATATTGTCTGTGTTTGAGTTTGGCAACCTCTGCTTTGTAACAAGCATATTAACCCCTTTCCTCAGGGTTTGGTTTTTTTCTGGGACACCCTGTAGTGCATATGGCGTCGCCCCTCCGCACCCGCTTTTCAAATTTACAGAGATTTACGCCACTGAATACAAGTAAGGGAGAATGTCCCAATGACAAAATGGCTTGGGATTCCATGACTGCTCCCCTGTCAGTGTGCTCTTTGATGTTCAATTGCAACCTTTCTTTCCAGTTGAGATAGCATTTGTAATGTCACAAACATCGCAACATCGCACCCCGGGCACAGCCTTGGAGACAATGCTTAGCGCTCCCATCGAGGCGTGAGCGCCTCCCCGCTAACAATGGTTCAATCATTCGGCACGCGACCACCATACACAAGACAACAACATGGACCAAGTCAGGAATTCCAAGCTCCTCTCATTGTTTAAACTGTACCAGCCGAATAATGGACATCAAGGCCCCAGAACGTGACTCAAAGCCGGTCATGTCGTGTGGCCAACAGCTCCCGACTGTGTGAGCTCCTGGCCCTGGATAAGATCGTCAATGTCCAACCTGGGAGGTTGAAAAGGCTTCCCACTGACTAAATTTATTGAAATTGTTTCATGTTGAGTAAGTGACTAATGATTTTACAACACAAAACGGTCGTCTATACTGAGTTGGCGAATGTTTTGAAGTTAGTTCTATGATTCGAACAGTGACGACTTTTTAACACCTTAAGCCAGTTTTTCTTCATCATAACTCCTGAAGTACGTACAGTGTATAATCCTTGCTGATAACAATTGATTCATCCATTGAGTAAGTGCCGCCCCAGTGGCCACCGTTTCACATTACCGCGCTTCAATGTCATTTAAGTGCGCTGAAAATTACAACAATAGTGAACATGATTTATAATGTACATGTACATGTGTAATGCTACACGCATTTCATTAAGTATTCAATACAATGGTTTACACACCAGATTCAGACTTTGGTCTGCTTATGGCACTGAGATAATGAGTGACAACCGTTTTGATCTAAAAGTGAAGCTGAAAATTGTGATGAGAACTCGTAACCCTTTGGAAACTGGTGTCATCTTTACAAGCCAGCGAACGAGATCAGCTACAGAAAAAAAACCGGTTTGTTCCATCGAAGAAACAGCAGAAATTATTCAGTTCAAGATTTTTTAAAAAGCATTTTCGCGTTGTTAAGTCCCTTGTGATTTTTTTTTTTACCTATAATCGATGACGACTCGCGTGGTCCGACCCGCCTAAGGGATTAGACCTCCCATCCCGCGGTCTCCACCTGCCGCTGTGGTGGACAGCCCTTGTATCCAGGGAAATCTTGCAAACCTCCAGCGTCTTTCCGGAGTCACAAAGATCATTAGGCCCGTGTATATCTATTGTGACTTCAAATGGGTGGAGAAGGTATTGACTGCCCCGAATTGATGTCAATTATTGACGATTCTCGAGACGGGCATTGGAAGGGGATAAAGACATTGCTTTGTCCACGGAGATGCAGCTTGAAAGCCAGACACGAGTTTTTACAAGTAAGGGACAATGATATTAAGACTGGGATTACAAGCTTAAATATTGATTTCAGCGAGGACAAAAAGCAAAGAATTTTGGGTCATCCAACTACGCGTGTCTCCTATACGTAAAATACAAAAAAATGTATAAGATGTGCCACGTCATTTCACACCCAAATTTTGCCTTGCCATTTTTAACCGGGTCATGGTTATTACAGCTGTGCACTTGAATTATGGGGGGATACAAGTCAAAACGCTATATTTTTTTACATAGAAATCTGTCTTTTCAGCTGATAAAAGTCGCACCAAAATATTTTATAAAGTAAAGACTGATAAATTAGATTTTGCATGGCGGACATCAAACTAAGAAAATAATTTGGGAATACATCATGTTTTATTTAAAAGAGATAATCGGTTCTAGCATGTTCTGACGTCATGATGACACACAGCAAGCCTTCCCATCAAGTGCAAGTCAAGCCAGAAATTCTTCGTTTTAGTTAACAAATCTAGCAGTCCATTGAAGAGAAAACTTACATTGGATGACGCCCTACAAAAGGAAATAAACATATTTTTGAATCTGCCTTAAAAAAACTGCGAATGAAGATGTTTGACATACCTGGATCCGCCCCATGGGGC